GTTGAAGTCTTATCGTCGCGACGCCGACGCGGTGGGAGAAAGCTAAGATGAATTTTAGATAAGGCGGGATTAAAGTACGATAAGCGGGAAAAGCGGAATATGTACGTGATACTCGAGAATTCTAATATGTGACTGAATAAGTGAATTTTATATATGAGAATATGAATGAAGAAAAATAAAATTTTGGATAATAACGAACAATCCTGATACGACGAATAATGACAGAATTTGTAAATCGTATTACGCAAAATTATTTAGGAAAATAACCAACGATATTTCTGTTCGATTCTTCGAAATATAATAATACGATATAACACAAATTTGTGTACATTGAAAAATTAATTAATTTGTTATTTGAAAAATGTTTGAAGAATGTAATTTCAAATAACGAATAAATAATAAACGAGTTACAATTTTTATTTAAAGAAAATTGATAAAATTTTATTTAAAAGCAGTTTATTTGACGGTCGATTGCTAATTATACGTTTCGTGATCCATGGATCAGGAAATTCAGGAAGATACGAATGGTCGGTAAAACAGAGGATCGTATCGTAGATGGCAGCACGAATCGCTCGGTTCTGCTCGGTGCTCGTTCGAAATAATTAGCGTTGAGAATGGAAATCTGGAAACCAGCTCTCGCGGCAAAGTTTGGATAAATTTTAAATGTCGGAACGACTGCAGTCGGATATTTGAAATTCACTTAGGCGATTTTCGAGCGTCGTCGAACCGGATTAACGGGAATAAATCCAGCAAATTAGATAAGAGATCGATTTTACTTCTTCTGGTTAGCGAATCTTTGATCAAACAACCGCAATGCAGTTTTTAATTCTACGCTATGCAAATTAAATTTAGTTGAAAATTCTCTGGTAGGTGATTTTTATGCAACTGTACCTTTATTTAAAAATGAAATTAAAATTAAATTTTTTAATAAAGGATTACTTACATCAGTTATCAGCTTTCTCCTTTTTTAAGGACTGAAATAGTCGATTGAAATAATACACTGAGAACGTTCTCAAATTTTAATTAATTTCATCAAGAATAATATATCTTTCCATTTTATCGAATATAACAAAAGAGACATGATTTTAACTCCCTGATATATAATTTCCACTAGAAGCCACACATCCTTTGAATTAATTCCTTCTAATTGAAATTCTCAAATTAATCAAACGCTACTTTTAAAAATTTAAATCCCAGGGTTCTACGTGACAGGGAATGTGGAATATAATTTCAATTTTCCATTCATTCCAAATTTCCAGAAAAATTTTCTATTTAACGCTTTTCTTAAGTCTCATATCCAATTACGTTCAACCCAAATATAAATGTTTAAAGAAAAAGCCTTTAAGACACTTCCTATATTCTATTATTCTCAAACTATTTCTCAATTAGAAGCTACTTTCCTTCAAATCATACAGAGCATTCAAATCAATCAATTTCCTAAAAATATTCCTTCGTCACCAATATATTTTAATCCTCACCCAAATTTCCAGAAGCTCCTACCCTCTTCATACTTCATCCTCCTCAAACAATTTCCCAACCAGAAGCAATCTTCTTCTCAAACACACTCAACTGATCAATTTCTAAAAATCCTTCTTGTATTACCTTCACATTGCATCCTTGTTCTAAATTTTCAAAAACCTCAAGCCTCTCGATATCTCATTCTTCTCGATCAATTTCGTATCCAAACTCATCGTCCAGATCAACTACCTACTTAAAATTTTCTTCAACCATCGCACCTAAACAATAGCCCAATTTTAGTCTAAATTTCGAAAAAGCTTGAACTCTGCCATATTACATTCTTCTTGATCTATTTCCCAACCAAAATCACTCTCCTCCCCTAACTCGTTGACTAGATTAATACTTTACCTAAAACTTTCTTCAACCACCACACTTAAATAATTGTCCAATTTCATTCTAAATTTTGAAAACCTCCAACTTTGAAATATCACATTCTTTTCGATCAATTTCTCATCCAAAATCACCCTCCTCCCCTAACTCGTTGACTAGATTAATTCTTTACTTAAAACTTTCTTTAATTACCATACTTAAATAATTGCCCAATATTATTTTAAATTTCGAAAACCTCCAACTTTGAAATATCACATTCTTTTCTATCAATTTCCTATCCAAAATCACCCTCCTCCCCTAACTCGTTGACTAGATTAATTCTTTATCTAAAACTTTCTTTAATTACCATACTTAAATAATTGCCGAATTTTATTCTAAATTTCGAAAAGCTCCAACTTTGAAATATCACATTCTTTTCGATCAATTTCCCATCCAAAATCACCCTCCTCCCCCACTCGTTCACTAGATTAATTATTTACCTAAAACTTTGACCATCTACCACACCTAAACTAATTTTATTCTAAATTTCGAAAAACTTCCAATTTTGAAATGTCACATTCTTCTCGATCAATTTCCGATCCAAAATCGCCCTCCTCCCCCAACTCGTTGACTAGCCTACCTCTTCACCTAATACTTCCTGCAGTCACCATATCCAAATACCACACAACCGCGGCGAACAATAACCCAATTCCACTCTAGCACTTTAAATTTCAAAAAACCTTCAACTTTCCAATATTCCATTCTTCTCGAGCGATTTCCCGTCCAAAATCATCCCCCTTCCCGACCAAATCAACCCCTACCTAAAACTTCCTCCGACCACCACACCCAAACAATAGTCCAATTCTACTCTAAATTTCGAAAAACCTGCAACCTTCCAATATTCCATTCTTCCCGAGCGATTTCCCGTGCAAAAGCACCCTCCAGCCGAAACACAGCGAGCCGATCATCCAACCCTCCTCTCCTCGGTCACGAGAGCATCTCGGCATGGCTTCGCGTTTTTCCCGATCCACCCCCGAATAATCGTGCTTGTAATCGCGATCAGCGGAGCGGATCCGGAGAGCGCGAGGAGGGCGAGCCACGAAAACTCGACGCGAGCATAACACACGGCACAGAGAACTATCGATTAACCGTCTGCCACGCTGCGTCTCGAGTCTGGACAGCATTGTCTTTCATTATGCGATATCGCTGCCGCGTCCGGAATAGTTGGCGAGCAGCGTAGCGGCGCGGCTCCGAGCGGAGGAACGCCGCGCGAGCGTTTGCGAATGTGGGACAAACCGGTCGGAAAAAGAGAAATTCGCGTTGTTCGTCTGCGTCTGTTCCTTCCACCCCGCGCGATCCGGGATACTCGCTTTTTCTCCGTAATAGACCGTTGTTGCCCCTACCCTACCTTGTTCGCGGTCGACAGACGGCAGGAATTGGAAAAAAGCACGCGAAAGCTGCAAACGCACGCTGTCGAAGAACGATGGAGGGAAAGGGAGAGAAGAGTCCATTGATCTGTTTCGAGAATGACAGTTTTACTTTGTGGCGTTGTTGACCCTATGGGTGACACGTGACTTAAATATCGCGTGCGGTATTTCCATATTTGGAGAATTTTTGTCGGGGTGCTCGTTCGGTGCTGTGATACCGTGTATTTTTCTGTGGGAGGGTTGTTGGTCTGTCATGACGCGTGATTTGAACGTATGCTCTCGTATCTCTGTATTTGAAGAAGCTTGGTTCGGTTGTTTCGTGTTGGAACACCGTGTTGTTTTGTCGAGTTACTGTGATTTTAAGGGAAATTAATTCTCCTCTTCGTGGAAGGGTTGTTAATCTGCATTCACACGTCGGTTCGTATGTCAAACTCGCATGTAACGCGACATCGATTTATAGGAGGGGTTTCCTATCTATATCCTGCAGAGTTTAAGGCTCTAGTAGGTTATGTAAGTCGTTATCTCACTGCGCTTCTGCTTCTTTCTTTTTGTCGGAGGTTCGAGCGGATAAGAAATAAATTGAAGATGGATTTGTGCCAGGTCTACTTAGACAACAAATGAAACACGTTTTTACACTTGAAAGGCTATAACTCGCATACTCGAACCTGGGAAAAAGCACGCATGATCATTCATCAATTTAGGATTAGAGTGCAACAACAAATGACGCGATTATTATGCTTCTTGTCTATGATAGTGATTTATTATCATAAATCTTCGGTGTTACGATAATAAGCTGCCTTACCTAATCCCATCAAGAGAGGGGTTATTTTAATTTAAATATTATTTTAAGTAAAATTTTACATTATATTTATATTATTAATATAAATATAAATATGCGATTATTATGCTTCTTGTCTATGATAATGATTTACTATCATAAATCTTCAGTGTTACGATAATAAGTTTCCTTACCTAATACCATCAAGAGAGGGGTTATTTTAATTTAAATATTATTTTAAGTAAAATATTACATTATATTTATATTATTAATATAAATATACATAATACAATGTAAATATAAATAATATAATTAATATTTA